ATGATTAGAAATTCATAGAAATATTTCTTGAAGGAGAGCGCTATGTTTCCCTTTGCTCAACAGGTAGCTCTCATTTGCCCTATATGCTGCAAACTACTGCCAGCAGGAAAGGAAGTATAGACGGTAGCTAAGTTAAACGCCTGAATAATATAACAACACAAATAATAGTAACATATGATAAATCTCATATACTGAGTGTATCCTGTATTCAGTACTATGATGATGGCTTTGCATATATTACACATTTAATTCTCATGATCCTCCTGCATGGGAAATAACGATTTTCTCATTTACAGAGAGGGAAATCGAGGCATGCAGAAGTTCAAGGTAAATCATTTTCCCAGAGTCACCCAGCTGGGTGTTGACAAAGCAGGCATTTGAACCCAGCTCTAACCGACTCAAACCCAGAGCTTTTCTGAGCTATTATACAGCTTCCACACAGTATAATGCATTTTCACCCCCCTCCCTCTCCTACAGGCCTCTGTGTTCTTCCTGGGCCCTGGACATAAGTGTCTTGAGAGTGGTGTGCCTTTCTGCCTTCCGCATGGCGAGTGCAGGACATATTCCCACTCTGATTCCGTTCACAGCCGGTCGGTTTCCCTTCTTACCTCTGAAATGGTGTTCATTTACCTTAGTGTGTGTGCGCCGGGAGAAGAAGCAGAAGGACATCCAGGCAGATAGCACATCAAGGCCCTGGGAGGCTGGAACACACTTAACGAATTGGATGGGACAGCAGGGGCCCCTGTGGCTAGGCATGTTTGGCAAGAATGTAAGGTGAGAACATCGCAGTGGGCAGGGCCAGATCAGGTAGAGTCTTGTGAGCCATTGTAAGGACTTTGAATAGTCTGCAAAGAACAATGGGAAATGATGCACTGTCCGGGAGTGAGAGGATATAAATGAAACAAGACTGGCCACACACGACTTGATGATTATTGGTGGACATGCTAGGCTCATGGGGGCTTATTACAAAAATCTCTACTTTTGTATATCTTTACAATTTTCCACACACAAAAAAATTTTAATGGAATGAGAGGACATTAGCGGGTTCTAAGCAATCAAGTGACATATTCTGATTGACATTTTTTAAGAGCACTTGACTGTTGCATGGGGAGAGGGACTGGACATGGTATCCTCCAGTGTACTCATCAGGGTCTCCACAGAGTATGCAATGCACCAGATCCGGTTAGCAGACTCAGTGGAGCAGGATCATTCACGGGGGACCAAACCATGGTTCTTTAACAAAAAGTTAACATGCGATTTAAAAGGGCCAAGTGAATGTGACATCGTGGGGAAAACAGCGGACTGGCAATCAGGAGAATTAGGAGATCTGGACGGCTTACTCACTCTCTTTGGGCCTCAGTTTCCTTATTTGTTTAGTGCAGCAATAGTGCCGATCTGTCCTCACAGGGGAGTTGTAAGAATTAAAAGCGATAGGAGGAGAAAGGATTCTCCAAAACCATGGAGGGTTGCACAAACACAAGGGGTTGTTACTATCTTGGATGTTTTCTTATGGCAATTATCACTAGTACTGCAAATAGTCCTACTGCTAATAATAGATTTTTAGGTTTCCAAAGGATTTCATAGAGTATGAACTGAGAACTGGACTGAGAACAGAGGTTATTGATTTGGCAGGGCAGCAGGTAAGAAGATCGCCCCACCACAGACTTAAAAGAGCCCCTAGGCATAGTCCAGGGGCTCCACCAGAATTGGCAAAACTCCAGAAGCTCGAGAATGCCACCTGTGTGCTTGAGGGCACAGGTGTGCGTGCAGCTGGTGCGAGCACAGACACAAACACACACACACCTCTCTCTCTCTGATTTCCAGCAGTGGAGGTAGGGGATGGTTTATTAAGTGTTTCTGTGGGACACCCCTTCCAAAGAGTTCACAGCATATTTGAGCCACTCCCTCAGAAACCCTTAAAACCTACTGCAATGTAGGGGAGTGCAATTATTTCTTTTTTTTTTTTTGTGAGGACGACCGGCTCTGAGCTAACATCTATTGCCAATCCTCCTCCTTGTTTTTCCCCAAAGCCCCAGTAGATAGTTGTATGTCATAGTTGCACATCTTTCTAGTTGGTATGTGGGACGCGGCCTCAGCATGGCCGCAGGAGCGGTGTGTCAGTGCGCGCCCGGGATCCGAACCTGGGCCGCCAGTATCGGAGTGCGTGCACTTAACCGCTAAGCCACGGGGCCGGCCCAATTATTTCTGACCTATAAGGAAGCAGTAAGAAAGCCTGCCCGAGTCTCCTGATTCTGTTCCAGGGCTCTGATCTTTAAGACACACTCCTGTAAGGGGACCACACTTGTTTTTCTCTCCAGGTGACACTGTCATTTAGTTGCATAACCTCAGTTTTATTTTTTAAATAATGTTTGGGGTTTTTTCTTTCATCAAGGCTTTGATTTCCTCTGAGGCAACACACCTGCACACATACACACAGCTTCCAATCTTAGAGGAAAAGAGTAGAGTTTGTAAAGATGCCCCGGTTCCCAGATCATCCACTGGTGGGAGGTTGAGGGGTGTGTTTGAGCATAGAGAAATGAGCCTCTTACACGGGCTTGAGAATGCTGGTAGTGGAGACACGTGGCCTGTGTCTGGATCTCTGCTCTACCACGTACTGTCTGACCTTGGGCAGCTCACTCATGGTCAATTTCCTCATCTGTGAAATGAAGACAATAATAGTAACTGCTTTGTAGAATTGATGAGAGGATTAATGTATGAGAAGCACTTGGCACAGTTTCTAGGACAAAGCAAGTGTTCAAAACACATTGAGGAGTTATTGTGGTTGTAGGCTGGAAGGAAGTGATGTAAATTATTTACCACAATGTTTCTCATCTGACTTCTCCTTGGCTATTTCAGTGACTCTCAACTGGGGTGATTTTTACCCACGGGGGACCTTTGGTAGTGTCTGGAGACCTTTTTGGTTCTCATGACTGGGGAATTCTACTGGTGTCTAGTGGGCAGAGGCCAGGGATGCTGCTAAACATCCTACAACGCACAGGACAGCCCCCTACAAGGAATTATCCAGCCCAAAACATCAACTGTGCTGAGGTTGAAAAACCTTGGAAACTAAACAACGTGGGGTTTATAATCTATTGAAACCGAATAACAACTTTAGTTACTCAGATCTGGGGAAGTATTTTGCACAATTACCTTGGATCTATAAAGTCTAAAATGTGTTTCAGTTGTGGAAAGAGAAGCACTAATGATTAGCCTCGATAATTTCTGACCATGAGCAAGTCAGGCCTAGTGACTGGTAATTGTAGATGCTCGTCAGAGGATATGCAGCCTTTCTTTGTGCCATGAGGGGACCATTCATGACAGTAATTCCTTACCTGGCCAAAATGATTTCTTAAGCTCCACTACACTATTGTCCCTCCGTGTCCTGTAGCCTGTTCTCCTGAGATTTTAATTTCTCATCAGTTTAGGGGAACAAAATAGTTTTTTCAGACACCGGAGACACAGCTCAGATCTCAGAAGCTTCCCTTACTTTCCTGGAATCTCATCTCAAAAATGACTAAAGTTTGAGACTGTTCCTTATTCTGTGTCTACTGAACTGTTTTATAGGATTTCAAAAGATCAGTCTTTTGGCTTTCTTTTCAATGAAGCATCTTAGTCAGGTAGTATAAGTGGCAAGCACAGGGAATCTCAGATAATGCAAGGGGTTATGCAGCCCTCCTCTGTATTAAAAATGTTTGATGGCTTCGGTGTAGACTTCATCTTGTATTTCTTGAGTGGTCTTTTCTTTTTTTTTTTTTTTGGTGAGGAAGATGAGTCCTGAGCTAACCTCCTCTTTTTTTGCTGAGGAAGGCTGGCCCTGAGCTAATATCCATGTCGATCTTCCTCCACTTTCTGTGGGATGCCGCCACAGCATGTCCTGACAAGCAGTGCGTCGGTGCGTGCCGAGGATCCGAACCCCAGGCCACCAGCAGCAGAGCGCGCACACTTAACTGCTACGCCACCAGGCTGACCCCTTGAGTGTTTTTCTTTCCTTATCTTTTGCTTATGAAATAGCTTTGTGTTTGGTTTGGTTTTCTATTCAGACAGCATATTAGAATCAAAGTACCAAGGTTTCAAAAGTCCAGACTACTCTCCCCAAAGAATAAAATGTGCAATCAAAGTAGCATGATATGCATACAAATCTGGAAGTATGGTCTTAAATATTGAGAATTAGCTTTGCTCCCCACCCCACAAGTCCTTTATCCCTAACCTCCTAAAAACTAATCATTGGCTCAAGATGGTCACAGATTGTATGTAGCATTTAAAAGCCACTATTTTTATTAATATGTAAAAATTTTAACTCCATTATTATTGTAACCATAATTAAGGAAGGAATACGTCTCATAAGAGTTTGTCTGCAATAAAGTGACCTTGCTAAGCTTCTTGCTCTATCTGATGTACAAACTGGTCTCCATGTGTAGATCACCTGCCTTCTACTGGCTAATCACCTTGTTACTTACACTACCTGAACTGCACGAACAGTGTTAGTGAGCTTAGAATAGCAGTTCTTTTTTGTGTGTGTGAGAGGAAGATCAGCCCTGAGCTAACATCCGATGCCAATCCTCCTCTTTTTTTGCTGAGGTAGACTGGCCCTGGGCTAATATACGTGCCCATCTTCCTCTACTTTCTATGGGACGCCACCACAGCATGGCTTGCCAAGCGGCACGTCAGTGCATGCCCTGGATCCGGGCCTGTGAACCCCGGGCCGCCGCAGCGGAGCGCACGCATTTAACCACTGCGCCACCGGGCCAGCCCCAGAACAGTAGTTCCTAACTGAGATTTACCTGAGGAGGTCTTTAAAATCCTGATGCCCTGGCCACATCCCAAACTAATTAAACAAAAATCACTAGAGGTGGGATCCAGTCCTCAGAATTTTAATTCCTTGGGTGATTCCAGTGAGTAGCGAAGGGAGAACCAGTGGTTTAGAAGAAAATCTATTATGATGAGCAGAGGCAAAACACCTAAGTGAAATTTGTAACATTACTGTCTCAATCTATTTTCAGGTGTTTAGGCATGGAGACCGAAGTCCCATTGAAACCTTTCCTAACGATCCCATTACGGAATCCTCATGGCCACAAGGATTTGGCCAACTCACTCAGGTTGGTTGGATTTTCAGCTAAAGGTTGCTGATGAGTCTCAAGGGAAACTAAACTGTGTGGGATTTGTAATATATTGAAACCATATAACTACTTTAGTTTCCCAGATCTGGGAAAGTATTTTGCACAATTACCTGGCATCTAAAAAATCTAAAATGTGTTTCAACTGTGGAATGAAATGCACTAATGGTTAGCTTCAATAATTTCTAATCATGACCAAGTCACTCCTAGTGACTACTAACTATAGGAAAATTGTATAGAATTGCCTGTTTTGGTTGTTTTTATGCTGTTGGCTTTATTAAAGCATAAGAGATGTGTATGGACAGCAGAAGGATACATGAGCTTAAAGATGTTGAAGAGAACCAGGAGACACTTACAAGCTAGCCCCTGAGTTTCTCAGGCTCCACCTGAGAAAGCAGAAAATAATCTTGTAATCGATAAGCTGAATCAGCATGTTTGGGAAAACACAATTCCTCTGGAAGTATTGACACCAAATTTGATTTATCTGCTGGATATATTGGCATTGAGCCTTCCTTATAAGTGATCAGTTAAAATAGGGAACCCTACTTCCTAAAGAGCACCAAAGGGGAAGGTGAATTGGGGAACCAAGGTGCCCCACCCTTTTTACTTCTAAGAGTAGATGGCTCTTCTCTTTGGAGCCACAAGGCCATGTACTTTGCTTCTGTCCTGACAAAAGCATTGTTTAAATATATTAAGAAAATGTTATAGAATGTTTAGAGTTGGGTGTCTCCAAAACTAATGGGTCTTAATCTTGGCTAAACACTAGAATTATTTGGAGAGCTTTAAAAAATATCGATGTCTTGGGGCCTGCCCTGTGGCATAGCAGTTAAGTGTGCGTGCTCCACTGCTGGCGGCCCGGGTTCAGATCCTGGGCGCGCACTGATGCACCGCTTGTCAGGCCATGCTGTGGCGGCATCCCATATAAAGTGGAGGAAGATAGGCACAGATGTTAACCCAGGGCCAGTCTTCCTCAACAAAAAGAGGAGGATTGGCATGGATGTTAGCTCAAGGCTGATCTTCCTCACACACACAAAAAAAAAATAGATTGATGTCTGCTGGGAGGTTCTTATTTAATTGGTCTAGGATGTGGTGGACATTAGGACTTTTAGAAGCTCCTTGGTTGATCAGTTGACTCTAATGTATAGTCAAGGCTGAGAATTACTGCCCTACCTCTACTGCAATGTTTCATAGAAAAAAAAAAAACTCAGAGAGGCTATTTGAGGCCAGCGTATTTTGGTCCCCAGGTCAGAACTCTTCCCATCACAGCCTACCAAGTTTTTGGCTCCTTGAATGAGAAAAAGGTTACAAAAACTCAGGGCTGCTTCTTAATACCTATGACTCTGTAGAGACTCCTGCTCCCTTGCTATGCTTTTCCAGTAAGATTAAAATTCTTCCAGACTGTGGGATCTGGATTCTCCTGGGAGTCTCTTGACTAGCCATCAGATTCTCCTAAAGCAGTGTTTCTCAAGCTTCTAAGTGCAAATGAATCACTTAGGGATCTTGTTAAAATGCAGATTCTAATATTCAAAGGAAACAAAAGCACTAACTCGAAAAGATATCTGCACCCCCGTGTTCATAGTGGCATTATTTACAATAGCCAAGACATGGAAACAACCTAAGTGTCCATTGACGATGAATGGATAAAGAAGTGGTGGCATATATATACAATGGAATATTATTTAGCCGTAGGAAAAAAAAAAAACAAGGAAATCCTGCCATTTTTGACAACATGGATGGAGCTTGAGGGCATTATGCTAAGTAAAATAAGTCAGAGAAAGACAAATACTATATCATCTCACTTACATGTGAAATCTGAAAAGAAAAAAAAAACCAAACTCATAGAAAAAGGGATCAGATTTGTGACTACCAGAGGTGAGGGGTCGGGGGAGGGGGAATAGGAGAATGGTGGTCAAAAGATACAAACCTCCAGTTGTAAGATAAATAAGTGCTAGGGATGTAATGAACAGCATGATGACAATAGTAAACACTGCTGTATGATATATATGAAAGTTGCTAAGAGAGTAATCCTAAGAGTTCTCATCACAAGGAAAAATATGTTTCCTTTTTGCTTTCTCTTTTTATTGTATCTATATGAGATGATGCATGTTAATTAAACTTAAAGCAGTAATCATTTCACAGTATATGTAATCAAACCATTGTGCTGTACTCCTTAAACTTATACAGTGATGTATGTCAATTATATCTCAATAAAACTAGGGGGAAAAAATGCAGATTCTATTTCAGATCTGATATGAAGCCTGAGATTCTGCATTGCTAACATACTCCCAGGTGATGCTGATGGTGCTGGTACGTGGCCACTCTTGAATAGCAAGGTTCTAGGACTCAAATTTCTGCCCTTGGCCAGGTACTTCCAGTCTACATAATGACAAGGTGATGGTTCTCAGGGGTTGTCGAAGTGTGGTCCCGGAAGGAGGAACATCACCATCACCCGGGAACTTGTCAGAAATGTAAATTCTCTGGCCCCACCCACTGAACCAGAAAATCTGGGGTTGAAGCCTGGGAATCTTTGTTTTAATGAGTCCTCCAAGTGATTCTGTGAATACTAAAGTTTGAAAACCACTGCTCTATAGATGACTATTTCCCCAAAAGTCAGCTGTAAGTTAGAACGACAAATTAGACCCAAAGTACTTGATTCTTCAGCTACCCAGGTCATTCAGGAAACTCACAAACCTCAAAGCACACATTATTCTTTTCCTACCTCCTTCCCCATCCTCGAGGGGTGGTGATGATCGTGTAGCCAGGAGTGACAAGCAAGTGAGCGAGTGGGACCAAGCAGAAGCCACAGTGACCACATCCTCTCTGACTCCTTGAAGCTCTGGCAAGGATCGGGATTCAAGACAGATGAATGCAGTGTTTCTCAAAGCAAGGTGCTCTATTACATGGATCTGATTCACTCAGGGCACTTGTTAAAATGCAGATTCCAGTGCTACACCCAGGATCTAAGGAGCAAGAATCTCCAGGGGAAATCTGGGGAATCTGCATTTCAACAAGCACCCCTAGATAATTTTGCTTCTGATGCATAGTAATGCTCAAGGATCACTGAGCTGAAGCAAGGCTTCTCAATGATTACTGGCCATCAGAGTCTTAGTGAGCTTGTTAAAAACAGATTCCTGAGCTCCACTGCCAAAGATTCTGATTCAGTAGCTCAAGGTGGGGCCCAAGAACTTCATTTCTAACATACTCCCAGGAGATGCTAATACTGCTGATCCACAGACCACACTTTGAGTAATAGGCTCTAGTTTTTCGTGAACCAGGCACAAATAAACTGGGCAGATAATAAATCATTGTACCCAGAGGTTGAAAGTGATCTTCAGATTCATCAAATCCAACCTCTTATCAGATTGTTGAATTTCTTCCACAAAACCGCCACCAACTGGTCAACCAGCCCTTTGAATGCTCGACCAACAAAGATGAACTGTTGAATGCTCTACCACACCAAGATGAACCCTTTACTTAAATCAGATCAATGTGATCTGCCAGCTGTTAACTGTGCAAGGCTCTGTGTTAAGTACTAATGAAGATGGATGAGTTTTCTCAGGGAGTCAGGACTAAAGATTACAGCTCTTTTCTTGTTTCCATTTAAAAATGTGTTGTTATTGTGAAACTATTAATGTACACCATTGTTCACTCTACCCATTCAGTGAGGAGAGATGAGACTCATAGGTGAGATTCACAGAACTTTCACTAATTTTTGCTTTTATTTGTTCCCACAGCTGGGCATGGAGCAGCATTATGAACTTGGAAAGTATATAAGGAAAAGATATGGAAAATTCTTGAATGAGACCTATAAGCGTGAACAGGCAAGTTGGGGAGCTAAGAGTGGGAACCTTGTCCCTTGCAAGAATTTAACATAATGTTGCATTTGTAAAAGTGCTTTGCCTGTTTCCCAAGGAACTTATCCAAGTCAGAGACCTTGTTTACAAATGTACTCCTCTTTATACAAATATTTTGTTCCTACAAAATTTATGAATATCAGTAAGTTCAAAATTTTATGGACACCTATGGTAAAAACTTTGGTTTGGCAAGTAACCACCACTTAATTGGTCTCTTGTCAATTCAACTATTGGCATAGCAGGTTTCTTTATGTCATGGCATGCTCCTAATACTGTCTCTTCCATAATAGAAATTACTATCACAGTGTCTGCTAATATTTTGTGGGTGCCCTGCCCTGTCTCAAATATACTATTATCTCCACAGGAAAATCCCACGAGTTCCTCTCAGTTGATCCTGCTTTGATTTTCCGCTCTAGGTTTATATTCGAAGCACAGACGTTGACCGAACTTTGATGAGCGCTATGACAAACCTTGCAGCCCTGTTTCCCCCAGAGGGTATCAGCATCTGGAATCCCAGCCTACCCTGGCAGCCCATCCCGGTGCACACAGTCCCGTGTTCTGAAGATCGGGTCAGTATTCTGGGAAAACCCAGAGATAGATTCCATTGGGCCTGGAAGGAGGAAGGCAAGCTGCTCGTTCCTGTGGATTTGGGAGTCTGGACACTCCTTGGGCTGTGCAGCCTTAATTCTTTCCTAAATAAAGGTGCAGAGGACAATGTAGGATATAGAAAGCCCTAGGCAAGAGAGAGTAGGAACAGAATTTCTCTTTGGATCTTTATTATCTACTTTGTTTTGCCACTCTTTCAACTTTTGGCAATTGGTCCCTCTCCATCTTTACACACACACACTCACAAGGCTCCTAGGGTTCTGCCCTTAATTCCCAGGCTTTTGGTGCCCTACACAGGGTTCTCTTCCTCCCTCCAAAATATCCTAAGACCTCTCTACCGACCGAATAACCTTCATCTCTGAAAATCTCCATTCCTAGGTAGAGAGAAAAAGAAAAATTTGAGTGCATAATTGGTGCCTGGTTCTTTACATGTGTCATCGTATTTACCTTTCATAAAAACCTTGAAGGGACAGTATTATTGTTCTCCTTTTGTAGCCAGGGAGGTAAGTGCTCAGAGAAGTTAAACAAAATAGACCCACAGCCACACAGCTGGTAAGCATCACTACTGAGACAAGAGCCAGGCCTATCTCATTCCAGAGCAATTTCCTTCCCTGTAAACTAGCGATTCTCAAACATAGCTGCATATTAGAATCACCTGAGAATTCTATAAAACTCCTGACGCCCAGGGCACTTCTCGTAACAAATCAGAATTTCAGAGGGTGGGACTCAGGCATCAGTTTGAGAGAAACTTTCAAGTTTATTTATACTGAGTGGGACTGGCCAAGAATTCCTTAACTTGTTCAGAGAAATTGTTATTTTTTTTGAGTAGTAATAAATAAATCTAACTAATCTCTCAGGTGTGGAGTTTAAGACTATATGAAAGAAATTGTTTGGAACAAGAAATCTTTCCTAATTCCCCTGCAGTCATATTAAAAGCATGACCATCTCATTTCTCTACAGCTAAGGTTTAGCGTGACTACTGGACCCAGACTGTTGGCCAGTGACCTCCGGGGTAGGTTACTGTCCTCTTCGCCTTGCCAGTACTCCTAAAAACGACTTAATTGCTGCATCTGGCGACTTAAAAATTTTTCCCAAATGCTTTGTAGAAACAGTCCAACTCTTGCCTCACTCTAGGTAAATCTACTCCAACCAATTTTTCTGGTGTTTCCTGAAAAGACAGGATGATTTATTTACGCCTCTTTCCTTCACAGAATCAGGAGTGAGGTATTATGATTATCAGTGTTCTTAGGAGTTTATAAATATTTTCTTCCAAAAAGAAAAAAATAACTTTTACCACAGCCTTTTCTACATAGATAAAGACCAGACAGCAGCACCAAATATAACCAATGTAGACTGAGGCAGCTATTTAATCCTTAATTCTGAAAGACAGTAATTAAATTACATAGTAAAGAGAATACGAGTACCATTAGAAGAGGAAAAGAGAAACACAGAGGGAGAGGGAGAGAGAAGCAAGCAAGATTGTCTACCTATGGCTTCCAGCTGTCTACTCACTAAGATGAAAACAGTTCCCTGTAACATCAACTAAGAAATCTAACAAGATCAATCAATCAACACAAAGTTATTCCCAGAGCTGTGCTAAGTGCTGTAGAGAAATATGAGGGCAGGTTTCTTCCCTAATTTATAATCCATTTGATGAAAAAAGATTCATTTGTGACATGCGTAGCACACAATACAAGACGGTGGGCGATGATTTGAAGCACGCTTGAAGCAGTACATGCTGGAGGAATTCAGGGAACGAGACATGTGTGGAGCTGCCAAAGGGCAGTCGTTCAAGTCTTCAGGGAGAGAGGGAGAACTTGGAGGAGGGGAAGGAAAGGAGAGGAAGGGAACCCCAAAGCGTGGAGTGAGTGAATGTGCACAGTGCTTGCCCTTCTGTGCGAGAGTTCATGTTTAGAAAGAATGAACATAGGACTGAGGAACTACTTTGGTCACAGATTAGAGAATCCAAACTGAACAGCCAGAAGGAATCTTGAGACTGAAAAGCAGTGTGATGTAGAAGGAGGGCTGGATTTAAAGTTGGGAAAACCTAGGTCTGAGAGCCAACTACTACTTCAGAAACTTGACCTTGAGTAACCTCCCTTTACCTCAGTTTCCTTTTCTGTAAAATGGGATCAACAGTACCCTCCTAACTTCTTCACAGGAATTTGTGAAAATCAAGATATTTAAGAAATGGAAAAGACTTTGTAAACTGCAAAAATGCTGGACAGATGTTTAGATGATTATTGTATTTATTTCCAGCCTGACTCTTTCAATATGTGAGATGAGAAAACTAAGGTCTAGAAAGGTTAAGTAATTTATTAAAATCTAGATTTTTCAATGAACAGGCTGTGCTTTTTCCCTCAATAATGTCATTTCTCCTATGGAAAAACTGGAAAACCATGCAAGGAAATTTAAATGTAAAGCAGTGGGACATAAACCTGTAGACATTCTTCAGTACCATACACACGTGATGAGTGGTGCTTTGAGGCATTTGTCTGACAGTGGCTTGGGAGGAAAAGATACTGGAGCCTCTGAGAATAACTGTTGAAGCAATTCAGGAATGAGGAAATGAAGGTCTGAAATTAGATGGTAAAGACAATAGAGGAAGGAAAGCGAGGTAAGACAAGGTCACCCATAGAATCTGAAATGACAGACAGGAAGCAACTTATAAAAAAAATGTTTTCTGATTAGCTCCTAGTATGCCCTGTTCTAGCCATTGAAAACACAGCAGTGAACAAGATAGACAAGATCCTGGATGTCCTCCAGCTTATATTTTATATAGATGATAAAGAAGTAAATAAAATGATTTCAGATGGCAATGAGCTCTTGCAGGAAATAAAACAAGGAATGCAAGAGTGGCTGGGGCAGGATGGCTAGAAGAGCGGGGCTGGGAGTCATTGAGGGGAGTGTCTCAGGCCGGGAACAGTCTGCAGAGACCCCAAGCCTGTGTGCCTGGGGGACCCCAAGAAGCCCACAGCGATGCTGGAGAGGAGTGAGTGAGAGGGACGGTGGGAGGAAAGCAGGGCACACAGCTCACTAGGGACTGAGTTTGGATTTTATTCCAAGTAAGATGGAAAGCCAGGGAAGGTTATAAACCACAGAATGGCATGATCTGATTGATGTTTTAAAAAGATTAGTGTTCACAAAAAGAAAATAAAAAGGAATAGTGTAGCTGCTCAATGGAGAATGAAATGTGAAGGTAGAAAGAGTAGACACCCACTGACCAAATAGGAAGCCCTTGAGTAGGTGAAATACACATTATGTGGGAGGGGACAATGAAGATAAAGTAAAGGGGTCTATTTGGGACATATTTTGAAAGTAGACAAGCAAAAGTGAGTAGTCTATGAAGCAGGATGATAAATTTTGCCATGGGCAAAAGTAGGGAGATTACAAAGACGAAACAGTTAAAAATGAAGTTGAGTTTAGCTTTGCACGTGTTAAATTTGAGGAAGAAGAGAAACATCCAACTAGTGATATCCGCCAAGGGATGGAAATACAGGACCAGCCACGGATGTAAAGTCAGAGCAACGAAATAAACTTGCGAGTCGTCTAAACCTGCAGATTACAGTTAACACTACAAAAGGTTGTGGAATTTAAACTCATTTTAGGATGATCACTTTGAACTCATAATAGGTTTTAAAGTACATTTTTCTATATATTTAGTATGTGCCCTTATCTTAATAACCTGTAAATTTGCAAGAATTAAGTCAACAAATGGTTAATCAATCTCTTAAAGTTCTTTCCAGAACCTCTAATTAATTTCTCTATAGTCTGTGTATGTGTGTCTGTGTGTACATGCACACAGATGTGCATCTCGTGTTAGAAATGAAAGAGGTCCAGGAGGAAGAAAGGAACGGTTATCATTTCATACGGAAAAACCAGGAAGTGAATATTTACCAACAGCACAGTCCTATTTAGGCAAGTTCACGAGAGAAAAAAAAATAAAAAGATTTTCAGTTCTGGGTACGTATCTGCTGAGTACATATTTAAGACCTGCAGACCGTTTATCTCTTTTCTCTCAATTTGAGAATTGCCGTTCAGCTCAAAACACATTTGAATCTTTTATTCAGATCGCTTTGCGCCTAATGAGGCTTAAAATATGGCTTCAGCTCCTTTAGCAAAGTTCTTCTGACTAATAAAGGATTTATGATTTTTCTTTTGTCCTCAGTTGCTATACCTGCCTTTCAGGGACTGCCCTCGTTTTCAAGAACTTGACCGTGAGACTTTGAATTCAGAGGAATTCCAGAAGAGGCTGCATCCTTATAAGGTTAAAAAATAGTGTCATTTATTGGGTGTGTGAGGGCCAAAACAAAGAATGAAGCTCCGGCTTCTTAAAAGTGTGGGAGGAGGGGCCGGCCCAGTGGTGTAGTGGTTAAGTTCGCACGCTCTGCTTCGGCGGCCCGGGGTTTGAGGGTTCGGAACCTGGGCACAGACCTACACACCGTTCGTCCAGCCATGCTGGGGCGGCATCCCACATACAAATTAGAAGAAGACTGGCACGGGTATTAGCTCGGGACCAATTTTCCTCATCTAAAAAAAAAAAAAATGTGTGGGAGGAATGTGTTTGCTGGGAGCTGGTTATAGCGATGGTTTAAAATGTTTAATGAGGGTCAGTCATCACTACCTGGTCCCCTTCCCCGTGCTGGAGCCACAAGCGGGTCAAGAAGCCAGTCCGTTTCGAATCCTATACCCATGTCTCAGAGGAGCCAGGTGAAAGCACGTGGCTGGATCAGCATAAATGCAAGTCTTAAAATGATCTGCTTATTGAGGTTGAGGAGCTGGGACTATTGTCTTCTGGTACAAAGGATAGCCTTTTTAATTTTATTTATAGATTTTTTTTATTCATAGATTTACTACTATTGAACCATCTTTACATTTTTAGAATCAAGCCCCTTTTAATATGATATTGAATTATTTGCTAATATTTTCCTTAGACCTTTTGCATTGATATTCAAAGTGACATTGGAATATAGTTTTCTTTTGTGGCCAGTCTTCGTCAATATCAATGTTGCACTTAGTTCATAAAAATTTTTTTGGAAGTTTTCTTTCTTTTTCTGTGCTCCAGAACAGTTAAAATAACATTAGAATCATTTATTCTTAAAAAGGTTGGTAGAATTCCTCCATAAAATCATGTGGGCCTGGAGCTTTTATTCTGTTTTGTTTTTTGGAGGGAAGCTCTTTAATAATTATTTCTGTTTACTTTATGGAAATCTTTTTGGGTTAATCTTGGCAAATTATATTTTCCTAGAAAATTTATCCACCAGACAAATAATATCTTCTGAAAAGTTTCCCAGAACTTGCTGCCAATGTCATCAGGCAGATAGCTGAGAGGTGGGTCTCATTATCCTGACAATCCAAAAAAAATACAGAACCTAAAGAAGTGTTTGCATCCCATGCCAATTTCACGTTGATAGCCAGATACCAGGTCCTGTTTCTGCTGCGTCTTCCTGGGGTGCTTTGACCTGAGACTTGATTCCCCTTCTCACTGTGGCCACTTATTTACATGTGAGTTTTACTTCACCTACTTGCAAAAACAATTTTAGGCAGTGTACCTCAGGCTAATTCCAGGACAAACCAGGGACATGTGAGGCAGCATTTGCATGCATTTTTAATGTAATAATCAGAACTGATCAATGAGTGTTTGTGCAATTCTTTGGGTTGGCATTATCATAGCCAGTATTACTGGTGCACTTGTCTGTGAATAACAGCAGCTCTCAGCAGGGGCAAATCTGCCCCACAGGGAACATCTGGCAACGTTGGAGACATTTTGGGTTGTCACGGTTGAGGGATTAGGGATGATGCTGGCATCGAGTGGGTAAAAGCCAGGGATACTGCTAAGCATCCTATAGTGGGCAGGGCAGCCCTCTACAACAAAGAATTATCCAGCCTGAAATGTCAATAGTGCTGAAGTTGAGACTGTCTAGTGTCAAAACTTTTTTTCCTTCTGTGTGTGTTTCAGGATTTTATAGAAACCTTGCCAAAACTTTCAGGATACCATAGCCAGGACCTTTTTGGAATTTGGAGTAAAGTCTATGACCCCTTATTTTGTGAGGTAAAAGAAAAAATATCAAAGATTAACTTGCAATCTGATTTTATGACTTATGCCTATTTTGAAACAGATGGATACAATTTCTTTTGCTTTTTCATAAATGTATTACTTATACTTCCTTTGACATTGAAATGTAATTTAAGACTTCTTTATGTTAATGTGAAAATTCTAACTTCTTCTCTCCGTTATTTATGTTTTCACCCTTTAGAAAATTGCAAGCAAAATTGCTTTACTTCTATGCCTTGGCACGCACTTACTTATTTTTCAGTCACTCAGGAATGCTGGACTCCTGTCTTGGATTTTAATGAAAAAAGCAATGTTATTTTACAGAAAGAGAAAAAAATTACCTGATTTCTAGATATAGAAATAAGCAAGCCAACTTTTAGTCAGACTATTGAAATTGGCTTATTGGAAAAGAATCTCTTCCTTGCTGTACAGCGGATATGAAACAACCTTTCTACCTAGATAAATCACTGTTGAGTTTTTCAAGGCTGCATGGTGTTTTTCACTCACCGTGCTCCACCTGCTGGCCAAAAGGGGTACTCTATCATCCTGTTTTCCCAACCAGTTCACTGAATCCTGGGGCAAAATTTTGACCCCCCACCCGCTTGACTCATATCCACTTCTGATTTTGAGTCATCATGAGTGTCTGGGGGCAGCAATTACTCTCATAGTTCCGTCTCAATACCAGATGGAGCAGTTTGCCCGTCTGCATGGCAAGAGTTCATTGACCCAAGGACACACTGCGCTTTCAATATTTTCACTTTATTATCAACATCTGTTTCGAGGAAGATTTGTTAGTCTTATAAAAGACTCTTCAATGGAGACAAGAGCCCACATTTTGGTTCCAGTCTTGATTTTTTTCTCTCTTCCTTACTACAGTTTAATCTGAGCTATTCCCTCTTGTGGTCATGGTGTATGGTTTCTTTTTTCTTTTTCTTTGTTCCACTTCTTTCTTCTGTAGGCCACTGCCCTTGGGTCTCCTCTTTCATGAATTCTCTCTGTCTCAATCTTGTCTTTGAAACTGGGGGAATCTTAATCAACTCTTCATAGCAGGTAATAAGTATTGGCACAGGGTCTCGACCTGTCCTGCTGTACAGCTATTCATCCATTTAACAAATGTTCAGCAAGTGCCTTCTGTGTGCAAGAGGCAGACTTTCCCCAAGAGTCAGTGAACCAGATGCTGAGGGGAGAGGGGGAATATTATGGAAGGCTCCTGAAATATATGACCTCTCCCAGCTGTCCTCTCAGGCCCATCATTCAGCTTTTAAGGAAACATCATCTAACTTTGTCAGCTTTACCTTCCCCACAGGTTACTAGAGAGATTTCCAAACCTCTCGTAAAGGAATGAGGTACATTCTTGCCCTCCCGCACCCTAACTCTGCAAAATAGCAATCACCAGGTTGATTTAAAGGGTGATTCCTTAAAGCTAAAAGCTATGGACTTGGTAGGAAGGGGCAAATTAGTTTCTGTGTATTTTTCTCCTGAACATCAATACCACTACTTATCACAAAGTAAATTTTTCCTAGAAAGAAATGGCAGGACAATAAAGGCTGGACCCAGTAGTTCTTGTGGGAAAAAGAGGGTAAAAAGTCAACAAAGAGGACAATCAGAAACAAAAATATACATTTTCTTCCTTTTTCTTTACTACAGAGTGTTCACAATTTCACTTTACCCTCCTGGGCCACGGAGGACACCATGACTAAGTTGAGAGAATTATCAGAATTGTCCCTTCTGTCCCTCTACGGAATTCACAAGCAGAAAGAGAAATCGAGACTGCAGGGGGGTAAGTATACAAAGAAACGGGGGGAGTGTGCTGGATTTGTGGTTGAGTGATCGGAGTCTGCGTCCCACCACCAGTCAGCTATGTGACCTTGGACAAGTCATTTAATCACTCCTGCACCAGTTTCCAATCTGTGAAATGGGGATAATAATGATACCCACTTCATAGGTGGTGAGGATTAAAATGAATGTATGTCTTCAAAAGGCTTAGGACAAACAGTACCTGGTACATTATACACTGTCAATGAACATTATGTGTTATTATAGTTGTCAATATTACCTACTCTGGGTCTTAGTTTTCCCCTCTGGAAAAGGAAAGCTTTGGGATAAGCTAAACGATACTTGTAATCTTTCCAGAGTAAAGAATCAAGGATTTCATATATGAGCCCCATAAAAATCAGTTGTGTCTGGTGGCCTATAGGATGAATTTTTCAAGTAGGAGGTATGCATAAAGTGGTTTGTCTTCCTGAAACCCTTGGTGGTAGCCATTGTTAAAGGTGATAAAACATATTTGACAGGCTAATTATGCTCTGTAAATTAATACGTATTTGAATTGACAAGTTTATGACACAGCTTGAATTTTTCCATTGGTGTTAAAAGATGTTTATTTCTCAGTGATGCCTCTTCTCAGCTGGATTTGGCACTTCATAGCATAAGGCACCTTATCCTAATGAAGCTAGACCCGGGTAAGAGGATGCCAAGCTCTTGTAATCAGGACAGGTGGTACAAGAAAGAAGCCAGGACCAAGCAGGATGGAGGTAGATGCTAAGGCTTCTGAAGGCAGCTGGGTGGGCAGGCCAGGACATCAGAGTGTGTCAGGTTCAGGTATGATTAATGTAGGCATTAAAACTAAGGATGGAGAGCAAGAGGAGGTCCATTATGTCAGGTTGACATAACAATGAAGCAATTCTAAGCCACAGGAGATGTTCCATGTTATGTACTCCAGACAATGTGAGGGGAATGGTACAATCACATCAGAACTCCAACCATTGCCAGACCCCTATTCAGCATGGGGTCAGGACAAGTTCAGCAGAACCCCAGGAGAACACATAGAGGCAAAGCATCCTGGGCGTTGGACCAGACTAGGAGGATGTTCACTCAGGTCTGCATAGCTAGAGAAAGAATTCAAATCACTAACCAGGAGAGGAGTCCTTATAGCTATACAAGCAGATATAAAGACTGAGGCAGGCTGTAACCTGGAGAACAGCTAATGAGGTGTGAAATTAGGATGGTCGGGAGCAACTGCATAGGAGGTGAGCAAAGTAGCTTAGGACAAATAATTTAGGACAGTGGTTATCAACAATGTGAGGATGTTGCAGACTGGCTGTTAGAGAAGTCCCAATTGCATGGCACAGAGGCAGCCCCAAGAGAAATGTTCAAGTCCTCACTCCATGCTAACGGCATGAGCAACAAGACCCAGCCCTTGGGGAAGAGAGAGCATCCAGAGATGAGTCTTAGACGGAACCTGATATGTTGGGGGAAATGACCAGGCAGGATACAGACTGTGTGTAGGGACAGAGCCCAGGAAGCATTTCAATCTTATGTCCTAAACAGCAAAGGATGCAGAGTGTGGAATTGGGCCCCATTGGCTACACAAGCACCGGGCCTCAATCCTCGAGCACCAGGTGTCGGCAGTATGACTCAGCCCCCAGCCCCATCCCACAGTTGAGGCAGGACTCTTGATTCATTTCCCCCAACTTAGTCACGATAGGCTCAGGAATTCAGCCTGAGGAATTCACTACTCACAACGCACTCCACGGACCAGCAACATCAGCATCACCTAGCATCTGGCTAGAAATGCAGAATCTCAGGCCCCACCTCAGATCAGCTGAATCAGAGTCTGCATTTTAACAAAATCCTCAGGTACCTCACGGACATTAAAGTTTCCAAAGCACTTCTCTACATGTAAGAGGCGGTGAAGAAAAGGGCAGGGGAAGCCAGGCTGGAGTTGACAATGATCTAATAATAGATGCGGGGGTTTGTATCAGAATAAAGGATGGGCTTTATCCTAACAGCTTACTCGTTTCCTCTTTTTTTCCTTTGGCCACTATAAATTGCATTTTGGGGAAGTGACTTCCCCTCCCTGGGTCTCAGTTTCCCCATCTGATGAGAGCATTAAACTAGATTCTGTCTCTAAGAGTCCTTCCCTAAGGTGTTCTTTCAGTCTTGGACTCTAAAGGCTGGCAACCGTGTGAACGCACCTGTCCTGTTTTCTGGAGGAAGTCCAGTGCTATTGATGAGCCAGGAAATTGTCTCCTGAGTGTCCTGCCAAAACACAAGCTCAACCTATTGTTCAGATCTGGCTAGGCAAGAGGGATTTCATCAGCTACATGCTTATTGAATGATGAAGCAGCTGAACACAATCCTGCAGAGGAAACATGTATTGTCTGGGTGACACAGAGTCACACGGAACATCAGGACTTTGACCAGCATCTTTCCCCTTTTGCCAAAACTTTTGTTCCATCAGTTGGTTTCAGGGGTGACATTGTTCAGTAATATCCTCCCGCCACCTCCCTGCTATAAAAACACACACAGGCACCAGAAAATCCCTATGGCTCATTTAGGAATATATAGTTGGTCATATCTGTATTAATGGAAACCTCTTCTTGCTCTAGACCAGGGATTGGCAAACTGCACCCTGCAGTCCAAATCTAGCACACTGTCTATTTTTGGGTAAATAAAATGTTATTGAAACTCAGCCACCCTCAGTCATTTAGGTAGTGTCTATAGCTGTTTATGGTCACCAGAAAGTGAACAATTGTGCAGACAATATGGCCTACAAAACCCAAAATATTTAGTATCTGGCCCTTTACAGAAAAAATGTCAACCCCTGCTGTAGCCCAAGAGTAAGGGAAGTGAAGTTTATGTCTTCCAAGCAGTGGTATTTTGTCTAGTTTATGCAGATTTAATAAATGATGCAACAGGGAACTCAGAAGCTAGCTGATGCTACAGTGTGGCCTAATGATTAAGAGCAAGAGTTTTGAAGAAGGACATACCGGGTTCAGCCCCTCTGCTTACAAGTTGTGTCATCTTGGACAAGTCACTGAACCTCTCTGAGCCTCAGTTTCCCCACCTATAAATCATAATTATTGGCATGCCAGACTGGGGATAATCATGATAATTACCCCTAGTTTCTCCTGGGACAAGGTGAACAATCACCCCAGAACCAAGGGCTGATATCACGTTCCGTTATCAACGCTGCAGGCTGTTGCAAAGGTACCTGTTGACGAAGGACAAGTTGCCAACAGGACAATATGGCTGTCATGACTCCCAGGAGCCTGGCCGCAGAGTTTAGTACCAACGTGGCACGAAGATCAAGCTAAAGTCCCTAAAGAGCTCCCAGAGGGTAACCTTCTCTGGGACAGAAAGCTGTAGACCTGTTGGAGATGTAGCATCCAGCTTCTTCTATTCATAGCCAAGGAAGCCCCAGCATCTACAGAAAGAGCAGATCACCTCCCTCCGTAATTAACCCTTTACTGTGCTTATTGGTATAAACAGTCTCTTCTTACTGTTTTATGATGTTTTTGAGGACAGAAACCATGTCTAATTCACCTAGCATGGTATTTGGCCCATCGTAGCTGCTTGGTGTGTGTTTTCTGAGTGGACCCCAGAGCCTGGGATTATAGTCAGTCTGTTCACATCAGTGCCCTGCTCGTTACAAAAAAAATACAACTGGTCATCCTTAAGCCAGGAGAACACATGTATGGTAGAGACAACACCAAACACAGACACAAGGAGTCTTCAGGGGATGAATGTGGAAGTCCCTGAGGCAAAATGTCCTCAAAACAGCCCCTGGCACCACAACGTACCCTTCAGCCTTCAGTGTCTGCAAACAGGATGGAGACTTTGAGTCGTGCCTCTGCCTTTCCATCACCTCAGGAACAACAAATGTGAAAGGCCAAAGCTCTCCTCTGCTGAAGACAGATGGAGTCCTCAGACGCAAGCTAAAGATGCTGGCTGCCCCCCTAATAGTGACACCCAGCGTAACCTGGAAGAATGGCCCACAGAAAACAGTCCATGACCAGTGCAGACATCCAGAGAGCTGCTGTCTCCCATGGCCTCTCACAGGTCTGACTGCCAGAATGGAAGAGGGATGAAGACAGAGAAGTACATGCCATGCTGTTATTTCAGGCTGGCCCTGGAGAAGAGCATTGGCTAGCAACTGTCTGAAAAAGCCATCTGAAATTCCTTCCAAGTTCTCAGCCTCCTAACTCGAGCTTTAACACAGCCTGGTCTAGTAGAGTTCCACTGTGCCAGTCCAGCTCTCCTTCCCCAGCTGTGCGAGTCACTTAACGTCTCTGGGCCTCAGCTTCCTCACCTATACATGGGGGATAGAAGTCAGGATTCAGTAAAATAATGTATGTAAATCACACTGCGAACACACAGCAGATACTCAACCAAAATTAGTTCTTTCCTTCTCTTCTTAAGTCTTGAGAATCATGGCAGAGGGAATCACTAAGTATGAATTAACAAAAAGATTTGTGAACTGAAATATAAGACCATGTTTGGTTCAGCTCCATTGTCGATCTGTCTTCTTTAAGGTGTCCTGGTTGGTGAAATCCTCAATCACATGAAGAGTGCAACTCAGCCGTCCAACCACAGAAAACTTGTCATGTATTCTGCGGTAAGTATTTTTGTCTCCACTCAAATCCGTTTGTTCAAGTGTGTGATCTCTTTGAGCAGGTGGCCTCAGTGTCTTCATCGTTATTTCCCTACAGCCCAGTAAATGGTAGACACCTGTCCAAAGCTTTTAAAATTAAATATATGGTTCTGGCCCTTGAGGAATTTACAATCTAATGCTGACAAGAAGACAAGTAAACACACAGACGCTGTACAAAGCAGTGTAGAAGCGCTATAGAAGCCAGTGCTTCGGTGCCTCCGAGGAGGAAAACATCCCTTTTGTTCCAGACTAAAGCCAGGGCAGCAACAGGAGAGGCAAAGTGGCAGCAGGGTTATGAGAAAAGCTGCGTGTACAGGACTGGGTGATGACTTGGAGTGTGGGTGGAGGGCAATGACGTGGAAGGTGAAGCCGCAGATGAAGGCTATGTTTCAAGCCTCAAAGATGGGAAGAAGGGTGGAACCATCAACAAAGGTGGTCTTGGGCCAGGTGAATGTACCGATTGGGTTGGAAATGCCAGAGGGCGTCCAAGTGGAAAACTCCAGATGGCAAAGGGGCTAGAAGAGGGAAAGAGAAAGAGAGCTGCATCCTGAAGTTAGAGCTACAATTGGGTGCAGAAAGAAAAAAGAGAGAAATCTTGGAGAAGACTTCCATCATGGAGCAGGAGGCAGGGCAAGAGGCATAGTTGGGGAGAATTCTAGGGATGTATCATGGCTAAAATGGTGTCTGTGGAGTCTGGGATGAGCAAGGAAACAAGACACAGTATGAAGACTTAGTCTCTCACCCACTGTCTCCATCACAGAGGATTTCTCAGATGTGGTTTGGCTGGAGAAAGCCATGTTTTCATTCTACAAGATGAAGGAAGAGGTGATTAAAGATATGGGGAAGGTTTTTTATCGTCTGGGGTTCTAAATGGTCTAGACTACAGAAAGAGCCCATGGAGGGAACAGAGTGTAGTCCTTTCTGGAGAGAGATAGACCTGGAATTAGTCAATTCTGCCAGGTTTTCTAATGACTAATCTGGTTTCCAGTTCTAACTTTTTGTGTGACTTCTGGCAAGTCATATATGTCTAACTCCATTTCTTTCTCTAGTAAATCGTTTCTAACCCCTTTTGAAGATGTGTACACTGCCATACGGTTTAGGCAACCAAGTGTTATGCCCATTTTGTAGAAATGGAAGTTGAGGATTTCTTAAGATTAGGTAGCTAGTCAGCGGCAAAACTGGGACTGAAAACCAGTCCCCTATGCCTTCCAGCCACTCTGTGATAAACCTTTAACAATTATTTTTAAGCTACACATTCTACTTCCTTACATTTTATCCTCTGTAAACATTCATAACCTCATGTATTCTTTCCCAACTTTAAAATTGCAGATGACTCTAATCTATAGGAAAAAATATAATCTAGCATTAATGTGTTCCAAAATATTTTAAAATCTAATGAAAATCAATGAAACAAGCTAAGACAGAGATAATTTCTACTGGGAAAAGACATGGGACAAAATCAGAAGACTTGGCTCAAATTTACTTTCTTCCACTTTAGGGTTAAATGGCATTAAGCAAGTTACTTAATTTCTCTGGGTCTCAGTTCGTCTTTTTTTTTTTTTTTAAAGATTTTATTTTATTTATTTTTTCCTCCCCAAAGCCCTAGTAGATTGTTGTATGTCATAGCTGCACCTCATTCTAGTTGCTGTATGTGGGACGCGGCCTCAGCATGGCCGGAGAAGCGGTGCCTCGGTGCGCGCCCGGGATCCAAACCTGCGCCGCCAGCAGCGGAGCGCGCGCACTTAACCGCCAAGCCACCGGGCGGGCCCTCAGTTCGTCTTTAAAAAGGAAATAATGATATGTGTATCAATCTTACTGCCCAGCACACAACAGAGGCTCAACCAAAATTAATTCTTCCCCTCTCTACTTCTTAAGTCATTGGAAGTATGGGAAATTAATTGAATCAGAAACCATTAGGGTGCCCTACAAGCGCTTAGTACATACCTATTGAAAGTAAACCTGAACCAAAGGTGAAGATCAAAAATGATTTGTTTCCAATCTCTGTAGCATGACACTACTGTGAGTGGCCTGCAGATGGCGCTAGATGTTTACAATGGAATCCTTCCTCCCTATGCTTCTTGCCACTTAATGGAATTGTACTTCGAGAAGGGGTAAGTATCTAAGAGGTACTTTTCAAAATTAGTATTACTGGACCCCAGGTTTTGTTATTATTATTTTTATTGTTGGCTTAGGGGTTGTTTTGTCTGTCTATTTGGTTGGTGTGATTTGGTTTTATATTCAGAGGGAAGAACGTTGGTGACTAACAATATCTTTGCTACTCGTGACTCCTTTTTCCTCTTTCCTCCTTTCTGATGAAGACTTTTACTGGGAAATAATGTACAGACACAGTAGATTAAAAATTTGAGAGAGCTACCCTAAGTGATAGAAATTATATTTTTAAAAAAAGATTAAGGAGTTCTAAGAAGTATATAGACATTACACTGTTCTCTTAGAAAACTCAGGCTGATAGAAGATGCCAAGAGAAAAATAAAGTTTGTTGATGGTTATATTATAATGTTCTTTCGATTAAAGACTTCAAACGTATCCACGCAGCTTCTGGTGATTCATATCCACCAGTTAAGATTCTTCAAACACAACTTCGGAGCAGCATTTACCACTTTGCAACCTGGTGTGGCCCTCCCCAGCTGACTAAGCTCGGCTTGAACCCACTGGAAAGACTAAGGTTAGAGTGAGCAAATTCCTTAGTTTACCCAGACTCAAGGGGTTCCCAGAACACAAGTTTCATTGTTAAAACCAGGAAAGTCCTGAGCAAACCAGGAAGAGTTGGTCACCATAGCCAACGTCACACAAAAATGTATATCTGCTGTGACACTGACGTTTTTATTGGAAGGAAGAAGGAGGAGGTGTTTTGGGCAAGTCACCAGACCTTGTGGGATATTATTGGTAGAATGAGATCAAGGAAGGGGCTGAGTCAGGGCAGTGACCCCAGAGTTTGTTTCAGGGTTGGTTGTGGAGATACATTTTGCCTCCCCTCCCAAGGCATTCACAACAGCTGCAGGCAGGAGCAGCTTGAGTGTGCAGTAACATAGGGCCCTGTGCTCAGAAGACCCCGTGCTTGATTTAATGATCTGCTGATGCCATCTTAAAATTCTTAATAATTTTTAAACAAGGGGCCCTGCATTTCTTTTTGCAAATTGTGTAGTCCCGGCTGTAGGTTTCCAGCCCCCTGGATTTGTAGAGTAGGAAAGTAGCAGCACAGAAGCCTCATCCTCAACCAACATCCTCACTGCTTACAAAGGAAGTGAGTGTCGCAGTTAGGGAAGGGTAGGTTCATCCTTTATTGAACCTCTAACCGCGTGCCACGCACAATAAGATAGAACTAAAATGTGGTCTTAGCTAACTTTGCTCTCAAATATCTAGAGTTAGGGTGGAGAGGCAATGCCCACAACACGGAGAAGAGCCAAACAGAGCAGAAAATGGGAACGAGAAGACTGTAGACATAAAGTGCTCTCTTAATAACAAGCCCTGCATAAGTCTGTCCCTTTGAAGGCCCATTCTAGGCAGAGTTAATAAATCCAGCGAAAATTCCAGAATCAGTTCTAGGAGTAGGCACTATCTCTTTGGGGATAAGACAAAAGAAGCTGCCCACTTTACTAGAAGCTCCCTCCTCTCTGGTTTCTGCACCCCCGTGGTCCTGAGCCTGCTTCTATTTAGGGCACTGCAACATTTTGTCCCACTGAATCGCTTTCTCTCACCACCTTGAGTAAATCCATGTTATGAATCAAGTGTGGGGTATTTTTCAACTGAGAGACATTGACATACAGAAAAAAAATTAACCAAAAGCCACTCACAGGTGGAAGTCAAGTTTGTTGTTATATTGAGATTTTTTTAACCATCCAGAGAAATATCAAAAGTTAAATTTGCTTTTAAATTAGGAACAAGGAGGATCCAAGTTAGCAAATACTGTATATGCCTGCACATGAGGTGATCCTGAGTGTAAAGGGATCCCATTACAAGAAAATAACAAAAGAGACAGGAAGACAGAATTTTTAGATTTTTAGGCATCTTAAATATATAAATTTTTAAGATTGTAGATAAGATAGCTAAATATAGTCTTAAAATATTTAATTTTTAGTTAGGTACATAAATTTAAAATCATATCCTGTATAAAATAATTCACTAAGTTAAAAAATATTGCTTCTCTCCGCTTTTTCATTTTATGAAACACTTTTATCCAAACTCTTTGTATGTATCTTAACTTGTGTCTTGACCACTAGAGCCAATTTTGAGTCCCCTAAAACTTTTCCAAATGTATTAACTAATAAGACTGCTGTACAAATGAACCTCAACTTCTCAGAGGCTTAACCCAATGGAGATTTATTTCTCACTCACCTAACAGTCCAGTGCAGATGTTCCTGGCCAATAGAAGGTAAGTCACCCATGGTGTGATTCATGGGGTGAATTCAGTGATTCAGGGACCCGGGTTTCATCTTTTGAAGCTACAGTTTTCAAGAGTGCTCTGGTTACTCTTGTAGAAAGAAATGAGAGAGTAGAGAAGGTAACTTGCTTATCAACCACCTCAGCCCAGAAGGGGCACATAGCACTTCCACTCACCTTTTACCGGCTAAAATTAGTCACTTGGTCCCTGCTAGGTGCAAGGGAGTCTGGGAAATGTAGTCACTTCTCAGCCATATCTCTATTCCATGGAAAGAGAATCGTGAATTTTGGTGGACTATTAGCCATCTTTGTCATGTCATCTTGAGTTAAAGATGCTGTCACTGGGAAAGTTATCCTAGGATATAAGTACTCATTCATATAATATTAGAGAAGTTTTTAAAAACATATCTTATAAGAGAATATTTGCGGTTACTACTGTTTATATGGCTTTCTAAGGTGATGTTTTAAAAGGCTTGTTTATAACAATATCCAAAAGTTGCAATTGTGTGGTTTTTACCCCAAGAAGGATCACTAAATCCTATTTGAACTTCTCTCTTGCCTCTTTGGCAAATGACTTCCATAAGCCCCTCATACTAGCTTTACAAGGTTAGTTTAGGCCAATGGTCCCTCCTGAAACAGTACATTGTTTTTTGAAATAAAGTATTGAGAAAGGCCTCCTTAATATGAGAGAATGTAAGGACTTGAATATACACCCAGCCCCTCTCTCTGAGGTATAATTTTGATAAAATCTTGCTGTATGTTCAACCACATATGTTATATATTACTCAATTCCATGTTTATGGCCTGGTTAAGGAGAAGGGAGATAGATTCATTCCGGGGAAAGACTGAAAATTACTGAGAGAAGAAAGGAGAGAAAAGGAAGGAGCAAATGAAAAGCGTGAAAGGGAGAAAATAGGAGAAAGAAGCCCCAAAACCCCACCTGCCCCCCACTTCTTACTCAAAGGCTCATCAAATCACCCCCAAACCCCCCAACTGTTGCCTCTCAGCTCCTCCTCTGATTAAGCATCCTATTCCCCACCTCCTATGTCCCTGGTCATCTAGCAAACCAGCCCTCCTATTTCCACTCTCCAGAGCCAGCCCACCTGCCCCAATCTCCCTGTTCCCACACCTAAGTTGGCTAAAATCTACTCTTTCCCATAAATTCTTCTGTTAGTCTCTCAACTCACATGTTACAGGCCAGCTGGAAAGAAATTCAGTGGCAGTTCAACAACGCAGAACTTATAGAGCTGTCTCCTCTCCTTTCCTCCGCTTCCTCCACCAGGGAGTACTTCGTAGAGATGCACTATCGGAATGAGACACAGCACGAGCCACATCCTCTCACGTTGCCGGGCTGCACCCCGAGCTGTCCTCTGACAAAATTTGCTGAGCTGGTTGCCCCTGTGATCCCCCAAGACTGGTCCACGGAGTGTATGACCACGAGCAACCACCAAGGTACTGAGGACATTATGGATTAGAGTGTATGCAGAGCTCTGCAGAAAGGGCACAATGCCCTTTCTCCAGGCCAATGGTGCTTTGAGAATATAACTTGGCCATCACCCCCAGCTTTGAGGGAAATGGGTTTTGGGTGATAATTGTATGTTCTAGGGACCCCTGACTTCAGGCAATTCCTACCTCTCTACCTAGCCCTGCCCTCACTTGCCTAAACCTTGACTTGGTTTTTTCAGTGTTAATACAAAAGGGCATCAGTGCCAAATATAATCAGAGATAAAGCTTAGATCAAAGTTCTTGGGGCTGCCATGAGCTATATGATTGGTCACACAGGACCTTTTGTTGTTTAAGGACTCCCAGATTTTGTTTGAGCAGGATTAAATGAGGCTGTTCCTTAAGTGTCTGAAGTGGAACAGATTTCAAACAAAATCCACAATCTAGGGTGAGAACAAGGAAGGGAAGACTTTAATCCTAGGCTAATGGGCAAAGGACCAACTTACCCGTTAGTTCCAGCCTTCTCACAAGGAGAGGCAAAGAAACGAGATACAGTGGAGAGATCTGGAGAAATCGTACACTGGGAAACTGGTACTATCTCTTTATATTTATGTTAAAACATTTGGGGAGGCAGAGCTGAAAATAAATACCTCTTTGTATCCTTTGGCCCTGGAAAATTCATGTTATTTTTGACGAAACCAAAATCAAACTTTCCATAAAACTTTGCTGTATATAATACCTATGACAGACCTTGGAGTACATACCTCATAGCAAATAAATAATTTGATGAGAGCAAGATATTCAGGCACAACACATCAGAGATGAGAGCCCTGCATGAGTGAAGTTTCTCTTGAAGCTCTGATGGTGAGAGATGTTGAATCTGAATGTGATTTAAGAGAGGAAGTATGATGACACATAACAAACTGGAAAAAAATTAGAAATATAAGAATGTTCTGCATGCCTCTAAGACCAAAACTTATTGGAATGTTGAAAGTGTGGCCGTGATATCCGTTTTGAGGACAAAAAGAATGTATGAGGCTTGATTCTGGTATCTTCAGAAAACCTAAGCAAACTACAGAAACTGCTCATTATACAAGAAGAAACCATGTTCCAATGATACTCTTGAGTCCTGTAGATGTGCCATGTGGGAGATGCAACACGTCTAGAGAACACCGTGCAACGTTCCATTACAGATAAAGATGAAATGCTTTCTAGAGATGATTTCTACTGGATGCTAGAGTCTAGAGCAAAGCCATTCCCTCTCCTTCTTGGTCCTGGGATGACTGACACAAGACATCGATTGATATGTTTACTTGTATTATTTCTTTCCCAAGTAAATATTTGGCCTTGGGGCCATCATCTAGTTATTCTTTCTCCTCCATGCATGTAACTTTCCTCCAGCAGTGAGCCAAATGTAAAACAGTGAATAAAGTCATTACTGGGACGTTCAAAAGCATTACTTTTATAATGAATTTTGAAAAATGTGTATGTGTTTAATTAGAATAAAATTCCTGAAGGACAGAATTTAGGGGCTCTATTTTTGTTTGGAGGTTTTATTTTAGTGTAACAGGAGGGAAAATATTAATATAAAGTGAAATGATTTGACTGGTGTAAATGAATATTTTACATTGAAGATGTATTTAGTTTGGACTTTACTACTTCAGATAAAGGCTAAGCTGATGGATGGCTCTGCTTCATCTATTTAAAATGGAACTTGCTAAGAAAACACACTTGGGAAATTTCCCATGTAGTGTGAAAGTAAAGAGATTCATATTACACAGAATAACAAAGGTTATGTCTTTGGACTTCAAGGGTTGTTATGGGAACAAGAGTTACCTGGATTTGGAAGGACGGAAGCAGTAAGGAATGTCAGGGAAGGCTTCCTGCAGGAGGTGACAACTGCACCATATGAAATCAGTTTGGATGGAGGTTTCTAATGATGTGTTACAAGATACTAGAAAGGCATTTATCAAATGTCCTAGGGGCTTGAAACTGGACAGTGTAGGGGAGTTTCTCAGCAGAAGATTCAGGATCTTTGTTCCCAAGGGTTTCATTCAAGGGGTCAGTTCTAATGAGATAAAATGTCATCTCCACAAGAGCAAGAATTTTATCTGTCGTGTTCTCTCCTATATCTGTCGTCAGCACCGAAAAGTGCCTGTGCCTGGCATGGATTGGCGCTCAATAAATATTTGCTCAATGAATGTATAAATTAGTTGCTTTCCTCCTTGAACCTACTCTTTTCCGTCTTGATTAGCAGCAAAACCCAGTAACCCATGAGTTATTTTTGACCCCACCCTCTCCTTCATCCTCCACAACCAATCTCTAACCTCCTCTTATCAAATCTATGTGTAGTATGTTTGCAGAATTCTTTTCCTCAAGACACCAATACCAACAATTCAATATCCAAATAGACTGAAATATAATTAAGCAGAAAAAATGTTAATAAAAAGAAAACTTAGGGATTGGTGTGCTGGAGCCAATTCATATAGATCTCAAGAGTGGAATGTGCATTTCACTTCCCAACTCTGAGTTCGATGACTGCACCTTGGCAGTTTGAAATTGGTCATGGCATCATGATGGCAATATTTTCACCACAGAAATCAGCATATGCCACAAATCAGTTTTGTTTTGGGGTTTTTGGTTTTTTAGATCCAGTTTACCAGCACACCACTGGTTTAAGTTCATAGAAAACTTAAGAGTCTATAACATGAGGTGGTCTCCAACAAAGTGGATTCAATATTTGAACTTCTTTAAGGAAAAAAGATTAGATTTGTTCTATAGGGTCTCAAAGCGCAATGCTAGGGGCAGCAGGTAACATTTCAGGAAGACAGATTGTGTTCAGTGTTGGGAAATTCCTCAGACCAGAAGTGTCCATTGGGCTGGATGACCACTTGCCTTGGCAGAGACACTATAGAGCAGGCTAAAGCACAGAAGGTTGTAGGAATTGAATGACTCCTTAGTAGGGCCACCAAATTTAGCAAATGAAAGTATAGGATGCTCAGATAAATTTGATAAATAGCTCTAACTGCTGAATTTTTATAATTATTGAAAAAAGCTGAATTCAGAATATTTAGGGTGTCCTGAGAAAGCCAATACAGGAAGCAGGACAAAACCATTAAATACGGGACATGTTCTGTATATGCAGAATGCCTGGCAACCTTCCTTCTTAGGATATTTCCACCCATGAAATCCTACCCATAATTATAAGCAGTGTTTTCAGCTAGTACTAATAGATCCAATTAATTCCATTCTCATATCAGTTAAATTAACTGGAGCCTTCACTGGGAAATTCATAACTCTAAGTTCCATACTCTGTTACTTTTTCCATACTAGTTATTAAAAATAATAAAATTCTTTTTTTAGAAAATGCCTCTTTAATTCCACAATTTTACTAACACAGTCAGACTTTCCTTGCTAGCACTCTCCCAATCCCTACCTCAATCTCCAACTCCAATTATTTCATGGAAAGAGATTTACTGGGGGGAAGTTCCAGTTTTCCCTCATAATCTTTGTAAAGCTGAGAATCTACAGGACATATACACAGGCCCAAGATTCAACCATGAGCTTTTAAAGACAGGATCCATACCTTTTTCCTCCTTGAATCTTCAGCCAGTAGACAATGCCTAGAACCTGGTACCTTCAATCAATATTTGCTAACTGAATAAATGTTCAGTCCTCCATACCTAGCCTGACTTCCACATGGCTGGCCCCAGATGTCGGAAGCCTAGAACTCAGTTGTTCAATCAATAGGGAAGAGATACTATGAATGAGCCTCGAACGTGACCACACTATAAAGACCCAGTCATTGACTATATATACATAGGTATATACCGACATATCTGTGTTATTTGGCCTCTGTTTTCAGCATAGTCTTGTTGGCATTCTTGGCATTCTCTTGTTGCCCCATTGCTGTTTAGATCCCTTGTTCAATGATACCCCTTCCAGCATCCCTCCTCCCTCAGAGATGTGGCCATGTGATTATAACAGCTTTTTATCATCCTTGTTGCCATTATCATCAGTTTCCCAGGATATGTCTCATCAGCCATTAATGACATTGGGAACTTGCTTTGGTATACACCAACTCACTCTGCACTCTCACTCCTGCCCTCAACCAAGGCAATTCTGACAGTCAATACTGGCCATCCCATACCCTGCCCACCACACCAATAGAAAACCCTAGATCAAATCAACCACACAGTTTCTCCATTCTGATCTGCTGAGTGGAGCTGAAGCCTATTGTCACCATTTCAAACTATAAATGTTGAAATTTCTATTTCAACCTCAACTGGGTCTTTCAACACTGCTTGGTAAATGTATTCACCCTTACTAAACTCTTTTCCTGTTTTCTACAGGAAGGCCTTGTTATTTTCCCCAAACTTCTAATTCCATCTTGGCTTCTTTAATTCTCATGAGACATCCTGAAAAGAGTAAAAAAAATCCATTGAAAATTCTTTTAAGTTCTCCTGTCACTACCTCAAAATATCTCAGTGACTTTAACCTGCCTTTACTGCTGTCCCTCAGGAAAACATGTTCCTCCTTGAGTAACCTAACTCCTTTCCTCGTGCATATGATCCCACCCCTACAGTCTCCTCAGACCTCGATGAATCTCTTAGTTAGCTTCATTTTCTTCCTCTGCACTGGCTCTTTCCATTCTATGAAAATGCCCAAATCTCCTCCCATCAAAGAGCACCCTCAAATGCCTGCTCCATCTCATTCTCTTCAATCCCAACTTTCTTGAACTAATAATTTGCATTCTCTGACTGTATTTCCTCATCTCCCTCTCACTCCTGAACTATTCAGTAAAATTATGTTCATCCTTCCTTCATCTGTTCTGAAACTTCCCTTTTGAAAGTCACCAGTGCCTAATTCAGTGGCCTCTTTTTCTCTTCCTGTGAAGTGGGCATCACCATCTCCATTTTACAGAGAAGAGAACTGAAGCTCAGAGAATAACATGCCACAGATGGCAGGGTCAGGATTCACGCCTAACAATCTCCAACCCCGTATTTCTACCTTATCATCTTCCCTTGCCATCCCACACTGTCTTATGGACTATTCCCTTAGGAAAATTCCCCAAAATAGGAGTAGTGGGTCAAAGTATGTGAATATTTAATAAACAATAGATATTTATTGAGCACCTGTATGTACTCAATATGTGCCTATGTAGCAGATGTTAAGTTTGCTGAGGAAACAGAATCAAGACAAGAAAATTGTCCCCATGTGACATTTAGACCTTGGCAGGGAGGTGGAGAGGCAGGCAAGGAAGACAGGGAGATAGATAACTGAACAACCCCTAACAATTAAGTATGGTGAGTACTATAATGAAGGACATAACAGGTGACTGTAAGAACATACAGCAGTGGTAATTACCTAAGTCTAAGGGGTCAGAGAAGGCTTCTCAAGGGAGGTGATGTTGAAACCAAAACCTGAAGGAGAGAGGGAATTAACCAGGTGAATGGAGGTGAGGAGAGAGGAGAATGTTATAAACCAAAGAGAAGATGGATAAAGACCAAGAGGCTGAAGACATGCACACGGCATTTTAGGAACTGGAAAAAGTGTGTCTGGTGAGTGCAAAGAGGCTGGCGAGGCAGGCATAGGTGTCTCGTAGGTCGAGTTGAGTAGTTCTGGTCATTAAAAGGTTTTAGGTAGACGACAGATGACGTGACTGCCTTCCTGTTTCAGAAAGACCTCTTTGCTTCAGTGGGGAGAGTGGATTGGAGAGCAGTGGGGCAGAGAGAACAGTTAGGAGGCTATTGCACTAATCCAAGGACTGGGGTGAGTGAAGGAGAAAATCAGACATTCAAAGGAGGGCAAGAAGTAGAGTAGACGGACTTGGGGATTAATGGCAAGAGGAAGAGGCTTTTGATACATGTTGCCAAAATAGTTTTCAAAAAAATAGTACCAACTCACACTGCCTTCAGCAGCTTTCACATGTTCCCGTGTAGTGGACGTCTTCAGTCATTACCTGCCCTAGACCTCTTTGCAGTTAGATACAATTGATCATTCTCTCTTTTCTCAGATTCTAGGACATTACACTGTCAAACTCACAAAATCCTTTGCAGTACAAAGGAGCATATAATTTAAAAAATAAGCACCAGAGACAGAGAGAGAGAGAATCTCTCCCGAGTCTTCTCTTTGTTCTCAGACTCCTTGTTCATACTTTCCACCAAGCCCTAAATGATTGTGTCCCAGGGCCTTGTCCTTGGTTCACTTACTCCACATTCACCATGAGCCACTATTACCCAGGCCTCCACCTTCTACATCTATAATCCTTACTTCTACATCTACATAGAAAATTCTAGACCTATTTTTCCCAGCTGCTGACTGATCATCTCTATCAGGATAATAAACCACCCGAATCCTACATTTGAAACAAAATTTATTACCTCCTCTACTCCAAACTGATCCTCTTTTAATGTGCTTCCAATCTCAATTCACAGCCTAATCATCTTCTGTTACCCAAGCTAGAACCCATGGGGTGGCCTTGACCACAACTTCTCCTGTACCTGTATCTTTAGTCCATTGCAAAGCCTGTCTGTGCTACTTCAGGAGTATCTCTTGAATTCTCTCACCTGCATTCTCAGGGCCACAGTTCCAGTGCTGAACGCCCAGTATCTTGTCAAAGGCATTTTAATAGCTCTCAATTAGGCCTACACTACCTCTGCCATCCTATCTTTTTCCAGTTTGGGGTTTTTTTGTTTAAACGCAAATTGGGCCAATTCATTTCCAAGAGTAATAATTGCTGATGATTCCCATTTGCCCCATGGCAAACCAGACCTTCTAAAATCTGGGCCCTAGCCTACATGTCTGATCTCACCTCTCCATAACCTATACTCCAGCCACATGTAACTGCTCGTTATTTCCCAACATACCCTTGTGCAACTCATTCTGTCTCATGGCAAAATCTTATTTGTCTCAAGGCCAGCTCAAATCTTATCATTTTCTCAGAAGACTTTCCAAATTCTTTCTCTTCCAAATAGAATACTTTGTGTTAATTGCAACTTTCTCTCTGTTCCAATGCCATGTCTTTTACACCGCTATTTTACTATTTTTCACGTTATCTCATAATTGTCTGTCTGGTTGTCTGACTAAATATGGAGCTCCTCAAGAGCAAGGATCATGGAACCCCAGAACGCAACACACAGCTGGCCTGGCACATGGTGTGTGCTCACTGCATGTCTGGAAAGGAAAAAGAGGGAAAGCATATTCCGTGGGACCACCATGACAACATAGCCAATAAAAATAATTGAAAATAAATTTCCAAATACAGAAAGTCAGCCATGAACATTAATTTTGAGAATCATTAGTCTCTGCCTTCTCCCTTCATTTCCATTTAGTCCTTTCCTTCCTTCCTCAATTCTGTTTAGTTCCCTCCAACTTTACGTTAATTCTATCTGCAGTGCTAATGGTACCCGTCCACCAGGACCTAATTTTATTAATATTCATCTTCTCATGATGTTAGGAGCATCCTGACATCGTGAGAAAAGGACTGGACTAAGAGTTGGAAACCTATGAGTTCTAGATCATTAATTCTTTCCACAAATATTGATTGAGCACCTGCTATGTGCCAGGCCCTATTCCAAGTGCTTGGGATACATTCATGAACAAAAAAGACAAAGGTTCCTGCCTTCATGAAGCTTACATTCTATTAGAGGGAGGGAAGGATGGGAAATAAAAGATAACTGTAATAAATAAGTACTTTGGAAGGTGAAGATCACAAGTACCCAGCTGGGGATGGGTGTGGGGACACTTACTTTTAAATAGAAAGCCCTCATTGAGAAGATGAGATTTGAGCAAAGAAGGTGCTGGAGTTACCTGCTGCAGAGATTTGTGAGGAAATCATCCAGGCAAAAACAACAATAGCAAAGGCAGTGAGGGGGAGGGTGCCTGGCCTGTTTGAGGAACAGCAATAAGGCCTGTGTGGCCAAAAGAGAGTAAGTTAAGGGAGAGCGGTAGAAGAGGAAATCCAAAAAGTTAATGAGGCCAGATGATGTAGAGCCTCATAAACTGTTATCATCAGGACTTTGGCTTTTATTCTGAGTGAGATGAGCATTCATTGCAGGCTTTGTTTTAAGTAGACAAGTGGCATAATTGGACTTGAAGTCATTTGGCTGCTGTCTTGAAAATAGATTGTAGAGGAGAAAGGATAGGACCTAGGGAACAAGTCAGGAGGGCATTACAGTAATCCTGGCAAAAGATGATGGTGGTTCAAAGCAGGGTGGTGGCAGAGAAGGGGAGAAATCATTGGTTTCTGGGTATAGTTTTTGGTAGAGCCAACAGGATTTCCTGACAGATTGGGTATAGAATGTGAGAGAAAGAGAGGAGCCAAGGAAGACTCCAAGAGTTTTGGGCTGAGCCATTAGAAAAGGGAAGTTTCTATCAACTGAGGTAGGGGAAGCTTCAGGAAAAAAAGATTTGGTGGAGGAAGGGGAGCTGGGGATTAGGAGTTCAGTTTTGGACTTGTTGAGATTGAAATGCATATTAGATGTCCAAGGGAATATGTCAAGTACACCGTTGAATACGAGTCTTGGGGAAATTTGGGGAAGATTCAAATTTGGAAGTCATTAGTGAATAGATGGTTTTTAAAATCAAGAGATTGGTGAGATCTCGTGTATTCCAACCCAAATACAATTTGGCTGAATTTTAGCCAAATTATCTTATCTCTCCACTTCTCATTTTTCTCATCTCTACAATGATAAAGTTAGGCTAAATAAGTGATTTTCAGCTGTGTTCCATGGAGTATTAGGGTTCTGTAGACAGAGCTGTCAGGATCAGAGAGATGTTTGCTCTCTCATTGCCTAAGCCAACAAGCAATCCCATATTTTTACAATGAAAATCAAACATACATTTAGAGATGGTACAGATATTTATGATGTATATACCATAGTGGACTAGGAAGTTGAGAGTGAGGGGTAACTTTTCAGATGAAATAATGAATAGCATCTCATAAAAAAACGACCTCATGTATCTGCTTCATGACTGGTCAGCTATCAAAGGGATATGTGTAAATAAAGTTACAGGTTAGCAATAATACAGTTATCCTAAAAATGCTTTCCATAGTCAACATGTGCTCAAGGTTTCCTCTTTAAAAGATATTTACCGAAAATCGAATTCAAAGACTAAAAGATGATATTCCATTTCTTTTAGACCCAATTAATGATTGCAATTGAGTATTCAGAATTTCCTTTGACCCTGAGATTATGAACAATTGATCATTTTAACTGTAGAAAAATGCATGAAGTTAATGCTGGAAGAAGACCTTAGAAATACTTCAGTCAATTACCCTCTCTTTATAGTGGAGGAGTTGAGGCCCAAAGTTCAAAGGTCTTGCTGGAACTAGAATCTAGGTCATCTCCTGACCCCTAGTCCAGTGCTTTTTCCCCACACTATGCTGACTTCAAGGCTGCTTCAGAAATGCCACTGAAATTTTTTTTTTTTTTTTTTTTTTTTTGTGAGAGACATCAGCCCTGAGCTACCATCCATGCTAATCCTCCTCTTTTTGCTGAGGAAGACCGCCTCTGAGCTAACATCTATTGCCAATCCTCCTCCTTTATTTTTCCCCAAAGCCCCAGTAGATAGTTGTATGTCATAGCTGCACATCCTTCTAGTTGCTGTATGTGGGACGCGGCCTCATCATGGCTGGAGAAGCAGTGTGTCAGTGAACGCCCGGGATCCGAACCCAGGCCGCCAGCAGCGGAGCACGCGCCCTTAACCGCTAAGCCACGGGGCCGGCCCAAATGCCACTGAAATTTATAATCAAGGCAGAAATCAACACTGAGATGTGATTTTCCTATTTTCCTAATCCATTAATTTTACATTAATGCTCTTCCTATTTTCCTACAGTTCTAAGGACCATCCTTGCTGTTGCCTTTTGCCTGGTGTCTGGTGTCCTACTGGTGCTGCTGTTTACCCTCATCCGCCACGGGCCCTGCTGGCAGAGAGAGTCCTATCGGAACATCTGAACAGACGGCTGAATAAGGGCAGACAAGCCAGGCCAACTTCCTGTGATGCGGCATCTCTCAGTGATGCAGAGTTCAAAGGACAGGCTTTCACCACATGGGCATCACTCTGCCCACACCTTTCCTTTTGAGCCTGCCTAGAGCAGAGACTGAGCTCACAGTGACCCGGGGACAGCTGCTGGACTGACTGATGAATGGACACGTAGGTTACTTAGTTAGGTCTCCTCCCCATTGAACTCATCGTAGTGTGGGCTTCTCATTCGGATAGAAAGAGGCTCTTCTGCAAAGGATAGTTGTATTCTCTGGCACAGATGTCCAGAGAGAAATAAGAAGTCAGCCTTTTACCTGCAAAGAGCAAACGGTTACAAGGTGTGACAAAGACATAAATTAAAGAAGACTGGATAATGAGGAAAATTAGACTAGAAGTAGTATTATATAGGATGATTCTTAAGAAATAAGACCCAATCAGAAAGTATAAATAAACCTTTTATTTAGCTTATGTTAAGTAGTTTTCATACAAACATTCACACACTCCTGCAAAGAAACGCCTCCCCAGTGGTTGATAGCTAACAGATTTCTGTATGTGTGTGTACATAACATACACATATATATATTAAAAATGCCTTAGGAAGAGGTATTTAGTTCTCAGAAACTGTAATATCAACTACTTTAGTTGCAGTTCAGGTCATTTTCCCCAGAATTTCTGTAATGGAATAACTAGCAAATCCTTGTAGCCATGGTTCTTTTTTTTTACCTCCACTATCAGAGCTGGATATTTTTACAGTTCTAATTTCCTTATTTAACTTTAAAAGTAAGAGATTTTACTTTGATAAGGGTTATTCATGGCCATGATGAAATGGTAATGTATTTTAATTGCTTGAAATAGATCCGAATTTCTCAAGTAGAGAAGTAGAAAGAAAAGTGGACTGAAGGATGATGACCCATTGCTTCAGCTCTATGCTGGCTTTAGGCCAATGACTTGGAACAAGTTCTTTTCAATCTTGAATCTTGGCTTCATAATCTAAAAATGAAGAGTCTGGACTAGATGAACACAGAAGTCACATCTAGTTCTCATGTTCTGTGAACAACTTTTTTTTCATTTTATGCTCTGGATTGGTCATTGTCCAAGCAAGCACTTTCATGAATCGTACCATTGTAGTAAGCCTGAAATTTATCCTAAACAACTATCTTCTGTACTGAGCCTCCAACCATGCATTTGGTGGGAAATTCAGTCTCATTCATTGGTAGGATTCTTCACCTCCTCAGGTTCTACTAAAGGTCCCAGAGTGTACCTGGCGGGAGGAGTCAGATAAGGGTCCTCTAGCCTCTGTCCACACTGGTGTCCAATAAGCTCACTGTCCATGCCAACATGGTCTTCTGAAGGTAGGCAGAGAACATCTGTGCCATGACTCCCAAGGCCACACACTGGAGTTCACCAGCCCGGCATTGTCCAGTCTTCTACCTGGGATCTTTGACCAGAACAGAAAGCCCCACCCAGAACCCCACCCCATCTCTCAGTCTCAGGAATCTTCCTCTCCCCTTGTATCCCACAGCTTCCACCTTTAAACTCCAAGCACTTACCTCTATCACCCTCACTCTCTATCAATTCTCACTGAGCCAAGGCTACTGCAGACAAAAACTTGAGACGGACTTGTCTTCTCTTGCCTGGCAACTGCTGCTTCCTGCTGCAACACAAGAAGCATGTAGGCAAAGAAATGCAAGATCTGGCTACATTCTTGGCTTGGGAAAGGGGAAAACATCCATAGCAGCAAGAACAAAGGACAAATTTATGTCTCCATAAAGTAGACAGCCATACAGTAATGAAGCCACAATATCTTATGCTAATAAGTGACGAGACTTGAAAGTGGAAGTACAAACAGGACCACAAGTCATGGATTTTCTCACTCATTCAACAAACATTGATGGAGGACCTAGTATTTGCTAATCACTGGCCAAGATGCTAAACTGTCCATTCCTAATGTGATTAGTAAGGTGTTGGCCCCAACAATGACCTTATATGGGATTGGTAGAATGTAAAAATAAAAGCTTTCACAACCTTTTCCTCATATCATCTTTTAATACTGTCGGTGGCTAAAAGGATCTCTACTTTCTATTGGTTCTGAGGAGTTTTTTAATATCCCCCATTTCTCTTCCTTCTACCATCTCTTGATTATTTTGAAGAAAGCTCTCACTCTCAACTTAGTTGTTTTTTTTATCTTCCACAGAGCTACTCTGTTGATAAATACTGTAATTGTTTTTCATACTTCATGGGAGAATGAAAAATCACAAGTGACAAATGATCTATAGTGATAAAGCAGAGAGCACAAATGTACTGTAATACTTCTCAGGAAATAAGCTAATCTTCCAACTTCAGCAGGAAAGTATGCAGATTCTCTCTACTGATAAAAGTGCCTTTTTCAGATGGGTAAGAGAAGACCAGTCTAGTTGACATGTTGATAAACATTGTTTGAAAGACAATTGCTAGGGTTGAGACAACCTCTGCTCTGAAATGTATTCCCCACATTCAAACCAGTATAGAGGCCTTTGAACAGGATCAGAATAATGCAGTAATTACACATCAATGTAGGGAAATTCCTTAACATAAAAAATATCAGCAATGTATATGTAGAAAGGTTCTAAGGAAGAGTTGTAGGTACAATATTCCTAGCTAGAATAGCATTGCGTAAAGAAAGTCTTAGGAGAATACGATTATAAAAAGAAATTATTTATGGCATTAGAGGCAAACATTTTACTGGAAGTCATTCAAATGACAACCTTTTTTACATTAGAACTGGTGTTTCTTCTCCCTGAATTCAGTCAGGTTCCCTATTCTCCCAACTTCCTGTTCTCTTTCTGTCTTGTTCTAATATTGTTAGCATTGCTTCTTTCTTCATAGCCAGGGGGATTTCTTGGTAAGTGAAAGCCAAAAGGTTAGTTCTCTCTTTCAAAACTCCCTTTAATAGAAACCCCATTTGAGCAATAATGGGTGTGTGCTACATTTTGGTGCTTTAGACCAGGGCTGTCTAATAGAAATATAGTGTGAGCCACAAACAAAAGCCGCATACAGGATTTTAAGTTTTCTGATAGCTACATTTTAAAAAGGTAAAAATAAAGACTGAGGGCCGGCCCAGTGGCTTAGTGGTTAAGTGTGCGCGCTCCACTGCTGGCGGCCCGGGTTCGGATCCCGGGCGCACACCGACGTACCGCTTCTCCGGCCATGCTGAGGCCGTGTCCCACATACAGCAACTAGAAGGATGTGCAGCTATGACATACAACTATCTACTGGGGCTTTGGGGGAAAAAATAAATTAATTAATTAAATTAAAAAAATAAAGACTGAAATTAATTCTAATAATAAAATTGATTTAAACCAGTACATCAAAAATATCACTTCAACACATAATTATTTTAAAAATTATTAATAAGCTATTTTACAGCTTTTTTCATACTAAATATTTGAAATCTGTTGTGCATTTTACTCTCACGGCACATCTCAATTTGGACTAGGCCCATGTCAGGTCTCAATAGCCATATGTGGCTACTAGCTAACATTGGACAATTCCACTTTAAACCATTAGATGACAACCTTTTTGAAGCAGCAAGAATGTATTCTTTGTTATAATTTGTAAAATCTGCTTTCAGTGTATTGTGAAGAAATAAAAGTTATCTTTTTTACGTCTACATCTTATTATTTTTGCATGCGTGCTGAGTTAATAAAAGATTTTTCTGAAGTGTTCTCTTTGTAAACCTGTTTCAACAGTAGCAGCCTGTACTTCTTCCAGAACTACCCTAAACTAAATGGACTTGTTCCTCTTCTTATTAAATGTCTTAAGAAGAAATCCGACAACATGCTTAAAAAATAAGTACTGCTAGATTTTGGGGGGAAGTTAGCTTTTAAAAGTTTTATTAAATTTTTTATTACAAGTAATTGTATTCAAACAAAAATAAATGTAGATAATACAGAAGAGTAGAAAATACAAAGTTGAAGGTCTTCCTACCCACTTCTAATCATCAGAGACAATGCTGTCAACAGTATCTGGTTTTAGTTCTAGTGATTAGCATGAATTTTATGAACTATACTTATACCTTTATTTTCTGAAATTCTCACATCTTTCACTGCTCTTATAACCCATGGCATCCTCTTTCTTGTATTCTTGTTTTCATTTTCTTGAAGTAATTTTTTTTAAGGATACATGAGTACTAAACTTTCTGATTCTAGCATGTCTGTATTTTAATATGTCTATATTTTACCCTTTTACTTACCTCTCAGTTGGCTAGGTATAAATTTTCAGGTTGAAAATCATTTTCTCCCAGAATGTGAGTGCAGTATTCTGTTGTCTTCTAGCATATAGACTGCTGATAAGAAGTCTGATATCAGTCTGATTCTCATGCCAATATAAGTAATCTAGTGTCGTTTGTTTTATTTTATTGATTAATTCATTTATTTATTTATTGCTGAATCTTTTAAAGTATTCTTTTTATTCTTGAAGTTCTGAAATTTCACTAGGATATATTTAGGTGTGGTTATTTGTTTTTCTGTCTAATTCTGTATGGCTTACATGTGTCTTTGACTCAAGGAAATTGTGTTCTGGAACTTGAATTTCCTGGATCTATTCTCCATGCCTCAACTTTTCTCTTATATTTTCTACCTTTTTATCTTATTTCTCTACATTCTAGAAAGTTTCATTTTCCAGAATACCAACTTGGTCTTCAGCAAGTCTATTATTCTTTTTTATTTCCAATAATTCTTTCCTGTTCATTGATTGTTCCTTTTTCATAGTGGCCTCTTCTTATTTTATGAATGCAATCTATTCTTGAATATCTTTAAGAACACTACTTAGAATTTTTTCAAGTTCTCCTAAAGTATCTCTGATTTCTCCAGGCTCAGTTGTTTGAATTTATTAATCTTTAACCCTCTCTTTCATGCTTTGGGTTTTTCTCAAATTCTTGTGAATTGTAATCTACAAATGAAAAACGTTGTGGATTAGTAAAGATGACTGGCCCTGATTTCCTTTTTAGTCATCTATACCTGTTTCCCCAACAAACTTCTTCTTGAATAACTGCTTTAAAATTCTCTTTTGCTAACTGCAACTTCTTGGTTATCTCAGGATCAGTCTTGATTGTGTTTTCTCCTAAGTACGGGTTGTGTTTTCCTGTTTCTTTGTATATAGAGTAATTTTGGATTGTGTCTTGGGCATTGTAAATATGTTGTCGAGACTTTGGATTTATTATGTTGCTCTGGAAAGTTTGGGGGTTTTTTAAAGCAGTCAGTTAAATTGGTTGAACTCAAACAGCTAAGTGTCTTCCCTGCAAGCGACAGCAGCTCAAATCTCAGTTCAGTTCTTTTAGCCTGAGTTAAGCCGTTTGGAGTCTTCTCTATGTGTGGTTGGTTCAAGATGTGTGGGTCAGCCACAGGATTTGGGCAGTTTGCTTATAGAGCTTGGGAATTCCTCTCTCTACTTTCAATTTTTGGGGATTTCCGTCCCACTTTTAAGAGG